CTCCAGTTCCAGTCAGTGTAATAAAACCAAGTGTTTATTCTGTATTGTAATACGCTCCTTTTCCTGTCAGTGTAATAAAACCAAATGTTTATCATGTATAGTAATATGCTCCAGTTCCAGTCAGTGTAATAAAACCAAGTGTTTATCCTGTATAGTAATACGCTCCTTTTCCTGTCAGTGTAATAAAACCAAGTGTTTATCGTGTATAGTAATACGCTCCAGTTCCAGTCAGTGTAATAAAACCAAATGTTTATCCTGTATAGTAATACGCTCCTTTTCCTGTCAGTGTAATAAAATGTTTTCGGCCCGGTACTTATTTAATTGAAAGGATAACCAGAAGGTGTGACGTATTCTAGATAAGCTATCTTGGAAACAGTATAGGTATTAAGGCCGGTATGATAATGGCTGAAGTATCTATTTAACATACATTTCAAGGTCTCTTGATTACTCCAAATACCACACACACATAAAGTGATTTTCTTTGAATCTGCTACTCCCACTCAATTATATGTTAAAACATAATAGTATCAATTTACGTTTTGGTTAAAACTATCATTACGTCGGAAACTAGGTTCTGTAAGAGTTCTTACAAATTACACGAGTCTTTAAAACGGTGTATTGAAATTTCAATTCGGTTGTTTGAAGGATGTAAAATATAACCCGAGAAATGTCCTGCAAATAAACCAACATTTATATTGCCAAGGTTACTTTACTGTTCTCGTGCAAGGTGGTTTTAAATCGTTTTATGTACAACAGATTAACTCGTGTTATATTCCACATCAACACAAGAAGTTCGGGTTGTTTCCGAGACTGTGCCAAAGCGACACAGGAGTTAGCTATCCCTAATTTTGATAAAGTATAGGGAAGACAACACTCACTGCCAACTCTTAGGCTGCTCTAATTGAAAAGTGGGACTTGACCGTTAATATTATGACAACGGGACGCGAACTCAAAACCTTCGGATTCACAGTACGGCATTTAACAGAATACTAATGTCGGAATTTAATACATGCTCGGTGTTCATTCGCTAGAGACCTGCCAGAAATCTAACACTTAAGCGTCCCCTGTTAACAATAAAACTAAATTACACGTCCCGTTTTTCTCACACTATTTTTACCGTTGACGTAAACATTTCAAATATTAAGGGTGCTTTCATTTTGGTGTTTTATATTTACTAACAAAGGTTTTACAAGTTGAGTGTTTGGCTGAACAACATTTTTTTGTGAATATGTTACCGATTTTCAACACAGAGCCCTCTGTTGATTATTTTAGGTGTTACAAGTAGTGTTTGGCCAACATTTTGTTGTAATCTATTATTGATGTTCGACACAGACCTCTGTTGATTATTTTAGGTATTATATGTCAAGTATTTGGCTGACACCGACATTTTATTGGAATCTGTTACCGATGTTCGACACAGAGCCCTCTGTTGATTATTTTAGGTATTATATGTCAAGTATTTGGCTGACACCGACATTTTATTGGAATCTGTTACCGATGTTCGACACAGAGCCCTCTGTTGATTATTTTAGGTGTTAAAAGTCGAGTGTTTGGCTGACAGCAACATGTTATTAGAATCTATTACCGATGTTCGACACAAGGCCCTCTGTTGGCTATTTTAGGTGTTAAAAGTCGAGTGTTTGGCCGACAGCAACATGTTATTAGAATCTATTACTGATGTTCGACACAGAGCCCTCTGTCGATTATTTTAGGTGTTACAAGTCGAGTGTTTGGCCTACACCGACATTTTGTTGGAATCTATTACTGATATTGGACACAGAACCCTCTGTTGATTATTTTAGATGTTATATGTCGAGTATTTGGCTGACACCGATATGTTATTAGAATCTATTACTGATGTTCGACACAGAGCCCTCTGTTGATTATTTTAGGTGTTACAAGTCGAGTGTTTGGCCTACACCGACATTTTGTTGGAATCTATTACTGATGTTGGACACAGAACCCTCTGTTGATTATTTTAGGTGTTAAAAGTCGAGTATTTGGCTGACACCGACATTTTATTGGAATATGTTACCGATTTCTGACACAGAGCCCTCTGTTGATTATTTTAGGTGTTAAAAGTCGAGTGTTTGGCTGACAGCAACATTTTCTAGATTAAAAAGCACTCATGCCTTGAAAACGATTATGACAAAAAAAATAGATAAGTTAGAATCAAAATATAATTAGCTAATATACGTGTTTACTGTCACTAGTTTCTCCGATTTTCAAAGATTATAAATATAATATACACTGATGTAACGAGAACTATTCTGTATAACTGTCTGATGGGTTTATACAGAGAAATGTAGCAGACAGGAATTACCAAACTATCTGAGCTCTCCACCGTAAAGAAAGTTAAAGTTGGTTAAGTAATTGTTAATAACCTAACTTAAAAGCTTTCTTGGAATGTTAACATTAGCTGGACAATTCTGGGGTTCAGATACAGAAAGTAATTTATGTCAGTGAAATATATTTGGTAAACTTCTAGAGTGCAGGCATTGGATCTTTGACAGCTACACCCTTGATGGAGTTGTTTGTATGCATCAAATTAAATATTTTAGAAGATTTAGATTAAAAACAATAAACATTTCTAATGATTACAGTGATTCTTGTAGGTATATGAATTATGATGGTCACTCTGGCACTGTGGGTCAGTGCCTAGTAATGTTTGTGGTTATATGAATTATGATGTAATCCCAGATGGTCACTCTGGCACTGTGGATCAGTGCCAAGTAATGTTTGTGGTTATATGAATTATGATGAAATCCCAGATGGTCACTCTGACATTGAGGGTCAGTGCCTATTAATGTTTGTGGTTATATGAATTATGACGAAATCCCAGATGGTCACTGGCACTGTGGGTCAGTGCCTAGTAATGTTTGTGGTTATGATGAAATCCCAGATGGTCACTGTGTCTCAGTGTATAATAATGTTTACGGCTATATCAATTATGATGTAATCCCACATGGTCACTGTGGGTCAGTGTATAGTAATGTTTATGGTTATATTAATTATGATGTAATTCCACATGGTCACTGTGGGTCAGTGTATAATAATGTTTACGGCTATATCAATTATGATGTAATCCCACATGGTCACTGTGGGTCAGTGTATAATAATGTTTACGGCTATATCAATTATGATGTAATCCCACATGGTCACTGTGGGTCAGTGTATAGTAACGTTTGTGGTTATATCAATTATGATGTAATCCCACATGGTCAGTGTATAGTAATGTTTGTGGTTACATCTATTATGATGTAATCCCACATGGTCAGTGTATAGTAATGTTTGTGGTTACATCTATTATGATGTAATCCCACATGGTCAGTGTATAGTAATGTTTGTAGTTACATCTATTATTACATATATTTCTTCTAAATAATAAACTTAGCTTTATTCTTGGAAAGGCTTTGTATATGAAGTTTAACAAAATCTTTGTACTCTAACGTTAAATTAAAAGTGTACCCAAATAATGAATAAAACAGTAGAAATTTAATGATTTTTTAACATCCATATGCACACGTTTTATATAAAATTACAAAAAAACCATTAACGTAGCCCACATTAGTACTGTCCTTACCTTACCAGTACCATAACAGGCTATATCACAAAAAAAAATACAAATAATAAAGTTACCGAGTATCTAAATATAAAGTTTTTTAATTAACTTAAGTATAAATAGCGTGGCAAAAATATTTATCTTAGAAATACAAAATTGAAGTTGTTATAATTTTTATTCATAGTTTTTTGTTTTATATGCACGATCTCATACATGTTTCTTCAGGGGGATGCACGTTACCTACACTGTTACACAATTGTAGTTGTAGTAAAAAAATCAACAACACTATTTTAAAAAAAATATAAAAATGAGGCAGATACCTTTCTAAGTAATCAACTTGAATACAATGTCTCATTTGCCCTTTAACAGTTGATGATGATATATTCAACCAGGCAACATTAATGCAGATACTTTTCTAAGTAATCAAGTTGATTACAATGTTTCAATTGCCCTTTAACAGTTGATGATAATATATTCAACCAGGCAACATTAATAGGCCATAACAGTTATCTTAGTACAATATTTGATTGTTTATAATAGAATACATAAGGAGTCCACTAAATCCACTCCTGGCCACGAAATATAACATAATTTAAACACATAATCTACCTAAAAGTTGGTGAACAATATCCAAAAGATAGTTAAAGCAGTTAACTTTGCTAGATACAATTTGTGGGTAGCATTGTTCAACTTTTTATGTTGCCATGGATGATAAAATTGGACGAAACAATTCCCCCTCACTAGGGCTACAAACACTGTAAAGGTACAATGGAGTGGGTTCATTAGCTGTCTAGCAAACTCAAAATCTATAAGCATATGTTAAAACAAAAAAAGAGTAAAAATAATTAGTGGACCCCAAATAAATACTAAAAATGACTTCCTGAAAACTCCCTGGTTTCTAGGTAAATACAAAATTGTCAAAAACTTTGTAAATATTAAAAAACACAAAATATACATAATGCTAATTCTGTATACTTCAATCAATTTCTGCTACAACACTGTTAGTATGATGCAAATAAAGGAAACACTGTTATATTAAGTTCAAACTTCGGTTACTATCTCTTCAAAAATGTCGCACAACTGAAAAGAAACCTTCCAATCACAAAAGTGGAACTCTGAGATATACGTCATTTTTCTTATGTGATTACCTACAAACTTAATGGTATGTTGATTACTAATTTTTATAACTGTCAAAATAACCTTTGTATGTGATGTGCCCAGACAGAAATCTTATCACTGTTGTTTAACATGTTAAAGAACCCAATAACTAATGATGTAGTAGGAGATGAACATCACATAATTCAGTAAAACCCTAAGTGTAGTGTAACTATTTAGTTAATATTACATAAATCCAGAGAATACATATATTGGAAAGATACTCCAACAATAAAATGTATCTTATACACATTTCTATTCCATGTACACAACATGTGTCTTAACCACATCTGTATTCCACACACACAACTACAGTGATGTGTTCCACCAACATTACTATCCCACATATTTAATCTGAAGTGGGTCCCCCCACACCTGTATTCCACACACACAACTACAGTGATGTGTTCCACCAACATTACTATCCCACATATTTAATCTGAAGTGGGTCCCCCCGCATCTGTATTCCACACACACAACTACAGTGATGTGTTCCACTAACATTACTATCCCACATATTTAATCTGAAGTGGGTCCCCCCGCATCTGTATTCCACACACACACAACTACAGTGATGTGTTCCACCAACATTACTATCCCACATATTTAATCTGAAATGGACCTCCATCTGTATTCCACACACCTATAGTGACGTGTTTCACCAACATTACTATTCCATAAAACTAAGCTGAAATGTAACTCCAAATCTGTATTCCACACACAACTGAACATCTGTATTTTATTGTTGGCGTATCTGAACATCTGTATTTTATTGTTGGCATACCTGAACATCTGTATTTTATCGTTGATGTACCCAAACATCTGTATTTTATCGTTGGCATACCTGAACATCTGTATTTTATCGTTGATGTACCTGAACATCTGTATTTTATCGTTGGCGTACCCGAACATCTGTATTTTATCGTTGGCGTACCCGAACATCTGTATTTTATCGTTGATGTACCCGAACATCTGTATTTTATCGTTGATGTACCCAAACATCTGTATTTTATCGTTGATGTACCCAAACATCTGTATTTTATCGTTGGCATACCCAAACATCTGTATTTTATCGTTGGCATACCCAAACAT